GCCATGCACAAGGCGTGATTTTAATCGCACCAAACATTAGTCCACACACAATTGCAAACTAAAATCGTCCGTCTAAATCCATTTTGATTAATCTCCACTTTCAACTTTTGTAATCGATGGATATTGGGGAACAATTACGTACCGGGTCTTTACAAATCATCTCCAAAACAGTATACACACGCCATACGTCGTGACTGTGAGTGCACCATATTATGCATCGGATGACTTCGGAATGTCCTGTATATTTGCAATTTGATTAACAGAATATATTATATAGTATTTACAATTACCTACCATATCATTATCATATTGGTTTTGTACGTGCGGCAATCAGGTTACGGCGACGAGCGTTATTAAAATGGTTTTCGTCTGGTTTCGGGGGCGTCGCTTAGGGAGTGTCGTGGAGCGACGGAAGTAACAGACGAGGCGGCGGTGGTGCTGGAAAGCCCGAGCCAACAGGTGCGGAGAACGCACAACACCTGTTAGACGAATCCAGACTACACCGGCGGCGGCGGCGGCGCCGTGGGAGCCAGAATCGGTGGCGGTCGAGCCGGCAGCGGAGGCGGCCGCACGACGGCCACCGCTACCGTTGGTCACCTCACGCCCTGGCGCCCAAACGGCGCTGCGGCGCCTGAGCAGCACGTCGTCGGAGCCGGTGGCACGACCGGTGCCGAACGGACGCCGGATCTGCAGAACAAGCGAATGCCCCGCCGCGCCGCCGCCGCGACCACCCGGTCGCTGGTGGCGCTCGCTCGACCACGGCGCGGCGGCGGTCGGTCGGGTACGATCCCGCCGTCGCCAGGCTCGATGTGCTCGAGCCGTCGCGGCAGCCCGCCCAGGAAGAGTTCGCTGACCACCATGGTGGCGCTCGGCGGCGCGCGGCACCGCCGATGCCCGAACCGCCGGTGGCCGCGACTGCACAGCCGCCGCCGCCGGTCGCCGGGCAGGCCGCCGTCGCGACGACCACTAGACAGGAACAGCTGGAGCAGCGGCACCAGGAACTGTTGAAGAA